AGATGTGAGCTGGTGAGGCTGGAAAAAGCTTTAAATTCACAAGGAGAATAGAAACTTCATTTTAATAATTGAAAATAAAATGGTAATAACCTGAAAACTGTGGGACTTGTGTCACTACAAAGCTAACAACTATATCTAATGTATTTTCCAGGAAATGGCAAAGAATATCTGACAAGATACATTTGAAGAAAGAGGTGGAAAATACTAAGATTGTTTTCTGATTATACCTGATCATGTTGAGCTTTTTAACAAGACATTTCTGATCTCTAATATTAATATTCTTTACCACAGTATTATTTAAACAAACAAACCAAAAAAAAAAAAAACCCAGAAAAATAAATGGGACTCTATTTTTACTCTCAAAAAGTATATAGTTTAAAAGTAGAAAATATTTTAAGAATAAATTTACTGGGGGAAATGACAGTTTTCAAACTGCTCATAGGATACGGGCATTAAAGATGGAGATTCTAAAATCGTCTTTATTTTGCATGGTCATTAAGTTACCTTCTAGCTCCTCCCAGCTGAAGACAATAATCTTTGTAAGAAAGAGAACAGATGCTCATGCCTGTAATCCCAGCACTTTGGGAGGCCGAGGAGGGCAGATCACTAGGTCAGACGATCGAGACCATCCTGGCTAACCCAGTGAAACCCCATCTCTACTAAAAATACAAAAAATTAGTCGGGCTTGGTGGTGGGCGTCTGTAGTCCCAGCTACTCCAGAGGCTAAGGCAGGAGAATGGCGAGCGAGCAAGCAAGAGAGAGAGAGAGAGAGAGAGAGAGAGAAGACTGATGAAAGCTGCGGTTAATTTCTTGCTTGTTATAATTCATTTTACTAAGTTGTAAATCTCCTGAGTCTCCAACAAATACATGTCGGGTTGAGTAGCAAGCACCATGGCTGAAATTTGAAATCCAGGCTTAAATGTGCCTCATTCATACTGGCATAACTACTATTAAAGTTAAGAATAATATAAATGGAGAAATCAACTTAAACAAAGGTAGGACAAGAAGAGTGAGTAGTTGCTGGTAAATGGGGGAAAAGGAGAAAAACTACTGGAAAAGTGGACTAGAATATTTTATTAATTTTAAAAGTGTCAATTCATTTCAGCAGTAAACGAGAGGTTGCTGACCAGGCAAAGAATAACAGATCATTGTATGTATTTGATTTAGGCAGTAGACTCAATTTCCAATGAAATATCTAGATATGACTGCTTTTTATCAAGGTTGGAATATTGATGCTATACACATGTGCAATGTCCATTCCATGTCTAATTTGATCAGATAAAGCAGGGACTTAGCCACCATCTTTGCGGGGAAGCAGAGAGAATATCATATATTAAGAATAAATTAAAGTAGGTTAATTTGTTTAAAAAAATAGAAAATTAAGAAACACATTAACAGAGCTATGAAATCAAACTTGCCTGCCAGATCAGTACATATTCAAGTTCAGAATACCCTTCCAAAGAAAGACAAGCAAAGAAATACGGTAATGTGTAAAGAACACTAAGATTTAGCAATATCATCTCTGTTTTTAACTAGCTATGTGACCCCTCTGTGTTCTTCAGTTTCTTTCTGTGAAAAATGAAAGTGGAGGATGAGTTAATCTTGTGGGTCTTCCTGTTCTATCACTCTATGTAGAGAGAAGGCTTTTACATGATGGAATGATCGATGGTATTTATTGTAACATCCAAACTCACTAGAGATGATTCAGCAGCACCAAATATATGTGGGCTCATGAATAATCATAACATTGAAAACCATGCAATCTTTTTTTTTTTTCATCTTTTTAAAAAGTGTTTAGTTCTCTTCTTGGGTACTCATAGGAGAATAATTTATATTAAGCTGTTGGCATCACAGTTAATAAACCTAATGAAGTATAGCCGAGCTCCAGATTTCAGTTTTGATGTGGATAATTCATTTCCTGAAATCTTTAAGCGTATGAATGACAAATGTTTAGAAGTCACTCCTTGATCCCATTTTGTATGTTTGCAGTGACTTCAGTTTGAAAACTCTCAATTGTGATTTTGCCTATTTGTTTCTAACACAGATGTCTAATAACTTTCCCATCTTTTAGCCTAAATACAGCATCACTGATTTTCCCAAGGCAACATGCAAACATGATTGATAGCATTTCAAACTTCCAGAAGAAGCACATAGGGTGCTTCACAGTTTCTGTCATAATTAATGGAGAGTCCAGCAAGAACATATGTTTGTGTGCCGTTACAATGGGAAAGTGTTAAAGGAAATGGAGTTATTTCCACTTGTAGCCAGTGGTGGATGAATGAAAGCAGAATCTGCCCTACAACATTGAGCAAAAGAAAATTAAAAAGTGAATCTATTTCAAATTCAGTCTGTTTGGCAACCTGTAATTCATAATTAACTGGTGTTTCAGGGCAGATTAATTACATAATACGAACCATGCACTTATAAGTAAATTTGTTTATTTCTTATTCCTCAGCATTTTAAAGAAGGGGAGCTCACCATACATGGTCATTACTTTTAGAACCATTCAATGTAATTTCCATATAAAAGGTGGAGACCTGTAATTATCAAGTATTCAGTATTTAACAAGTATATGTTTCTCAGACTAAAGAAACGAGGTACAGTGCAAAGAGCAGGGTTTTAAAGTCAAACTCGTATTTGCATATTTGAATCTTCTTTTCCCCACATTATTATGGACTCTTTTTCTCACCAGTAAGAATGGAGTTGCTGTATTGATTAAATATGCAATAACTTAATTTAGCTATACAACACAGGTATAGACACTCAAATCGTTTTTCAAACTGCTCAGATACCTCACAAGGCTTCATGCTTTGACTTTTCTGTTCCTTCTGCTTGATAAAATATTTATACATTTCTAAAGTTGTTTAGTTCCATCTTGTTTTTCAAGATCTAGATAAAGATTCAGCCAAGTATGGCCAGTGGTTCAAATTTACCATCACCCCCACCACAAAGTTTCCTAAATAAAGTTTGATTGGAACACAGCCATGCCTATTCACTTAAGTATTGTTCATGGCTATTTTCGTACTACAACAGCAGAGTTGAATAGTTGTGACCAAAAACTGCATGGCCCACAAAGCTTAAAATATTTTTACTTTAGGTATTTCTCCTAACACCTAATGTAAATGATGAGTTAAAGGGTGCAGCAAACCAACATGGCACATGTATACATACGTAACAAAACTGCACGTTGTGCACATGTACCCTAGAACTTAAAGTATAATAAATATATATATATACACACACACATATATATATTTATTCTCTAGCGGATAGTAAAAGTTTGCCAACCCTTGATTCAGAAAATGTTCCATATGCTCTATGCTTCATTTCCTGGCCAACACCCATGTTTGTTTTGATATCATTTGTTTTGTACATTAACTGTATTTCCACATGAGCCCTGAGAAGTGGAGACTGCATTTCAGTGTTCCTTTGTCTCTAGTCTGCTTACCATAGTATCTGACACTCAAACATTTTTGGTTTGAACCTAAAAATAAATTATTAGATTTACATTGTCAGCCCTCTGAATTCATGGGTTCCATATTTGTGGATTCAACCAACCTTAGATTGAAAGTGTAGTTAGGTCTAGGACAGGATGCTGCATCTGTACTAAACATATACGGACTTGTTTTCAGTCATTCTGCCCTAAACACTGCAGTACAGTAACTACTTACATGGCATTTACATTGCATTCAGCATTAAAAGTAATCTAGAAATCATTTAAAGTATATGGGAGAATATGCATAGGTTTTATGAAAATACAATTTTACAGAAGGGACTTGAGCACCCACAGATTTGGGTATCTGTAGGGATTGGGAGTTCCTAAAACCAATCCCCCAAACATGAATACTGAGGGATGACTGTATATAGATTGGATGCCAGTCTAGATAGAATGCAAATTAGTATTTTTAAAGTGTTTACATGGAAAACTGTACATGTACATAGACACAATACACTGAAGAAGAAGTTCCGAAAGCTAACTATACATGCTCTCAGAACAAGAATGCAGACCTCTGATTATAGGACAAAGGACTCAACAAGCTTTAATATTGATTTCTCCATGGGTTTCGTCTCTTATGTGACCTGTTCTAGATTTGTTACACAGTTGTGTCTGTATGTGTGTATGCATGTCTATGGCTTGAACAGCACAGGAGATTATTTATTTCATTGATATAAAATCTGACACAGAGCGAATGTCTTCCAGACTACAATCCTTCCCATTCTGTACTTTCTGGTCTCTTAGCTTTAATCTCCCCTGCACACAAAAGTGCCATAATTCCAAATATGACTGAATATTACCTGTGTTATCATTCTTAATTTATACCATATGTATTTAAATTATTCCTAGAGGATATTTTTGTATGGAAATTGTCTAAACTAAATTTGAGAGTTATAAAGTTCAGATTATTTAATTTTCTGTCATGTAAAACAGGATCTATTTTCCCCCATTATAGAAAAGAGTATTCTATCTGTTGTTAATTACAAATGCTAAATTATTGTGTTGCATGGAAGATAGATAAAAATATTACCTGTCTGAATTACTGCCTGTATTAGTCCGTTTTCACATTGCTGATAAAGACATACCTGAGACTGGGAAGAAAAACAGGTTTAATTGAACCTACAGTTCCACATGACTGGGGAGGCCTCAGAATCATGGCAGGAGGAGAAAGGCACTTCTTACATGGCTGTGGCAAGTGAAGATTAAGAAGAAGCCAAAGTGGAAACCCCTGATAAATCCATCAGATCTTGTGAGACTTACTCACTCTCGCAAGAATAGTACCAGAAAGACTGGCCCACGTGATTCAATTATCTCCCCCTGGGTCCTTCCCACAACACATGGGAATTCTGGGAGATACAATTCAAGTTGAGATTTTGGTGGGGACACAAGTCAAACCCAACACTGCCTGAATTGTTATTAGTGTGTTTCTTTTTGGTAATCAGCATGATCTGCATAAGAGGTATTTACAAACTGATTTCAAAGGCAGCTTTTGGTTTTGTCAGCTTTACTTGCTTTGATTGGACAATGACAAGGTCATTCCTTTGTGATTACATTGTGATTACAGTGTCATTCCATTGTGATTGATTACATTGGGCCCGCCTCTAAAAGAAGAAACCTTTAGTAAACACTGAGAGTCTCTAGATTACTTACAAGGCCCAATACAAGGAAATGGTATGTAAGTAGTCGCTATACCATAGTGTTAGCTTTAATTTTACTTTCATCTGTAAGGGTATTGTGACTTCACTCTTCAAGCCTTAAAAATAGTGGCCAACACTTTGTTTAATCTTTGAAGTATTTACAAACTTTGTTCAAGTTTCTACCCTTTTGTATATGTGAGTAAATTAGGCCCCTGTAATTGTCATTATTTTTTGTTTCTTTGTACTCCTTAATATCTTCTGTAAGTGATTTACATCCATTAGAGGTTAACATCATGGTTACCCAGGCTTTGGTTTACCTGCTCTGCTGTATGTTTTCCCAGTATAAAATGTTGCCCTCCCAACATTCCTGGAGCATCACACTAATGCCAGGATGTATTAATGCCTTAATAAACATATTCCTCTAAAGTGAATCATGGCTGTCCAAAATTAATTGTCATAAAAATGGAGATTATAATCAAGATTATCTATTACATATGCACTGAGGCACAACAATTAAAAGGGAGAATGTGTGTAGTTATGGAGGTCATGAACAGCCACTACCCTTATGTTCATGGCTTAATTATTAGCAACTATTTATAATGCATGCCATTTCTTAGGTGCTACCTGGCCCTATTCTGAAGAACTATGAACTGATATCTATAAAATATAAGTGTATAATTGTGTAACTGATCATTCTTAAGAAAGAGGGAGGGTTTCCATAGCACTGACAATAGTATTTTGTATGCATGCACGTGTGTTTATTTATTTGCTGACTTACTTGTGTTGACTGCTGAGCATTCATTCTCATTTTCTTCTAGTAAGAACACCTTCCAGTTCTGTTTGAGGAATTACTTCTCTATCACTGTGCTTTGTGTTTCCTGGGTCCATCAATCAAAGTATCCAGCTTTCTGCTAGCTGAAGAGAAAGCATATGGCTCAAACTAGTTAAATTATGCTCTCTGTATTACTCTTGAGTTTGGAAACTTGAATGTCAAATTTAATGAGAAATGTCACTGCTTTTGTTTTAAATACCCCAGAGCTGACTTATCTCCTGAAGAGATAAACATTTAGCTTAGGCACCTGGATTGATATGGTCTATCCAAAGATAACACTTTATTATTTTATTTAAACTCTGTGAGCCACATCATATCCTACCAATTACTTTTCTTTCTTTTGTTTATTTTTTTCTTTTTTGAGACAGAGTCTCGCTCTGTCACTCAGGCTGTAGTGCAATGGCATGATCTCAGCCCACTGTAACCTCTGCCTGCTGGGTTCAAGCAATTCTCCTGTCTTGGCCTCCTGAGTAGCTGGGACTACAGGTGCACACCACCACACCTGGCTAATTTTTGTATATTTAGTAGAGATGGGGTTTCACTATATTGGTCAGGTTACCTGCCTCAGCCTCCCAAAGTGCTGGGATTACATGCATGAGTCATCATGCCTGGCCAGATTTTCTTTGACCTACTAATACAAAGTTTCTTTCTCTTGAAAACAATGCACTTAATTGCATTGCAATTGCAAGCTAGCTCTGCAAGCTGGAGAACCAGGAAAGCCAATGTCTGAAAATCCGAGAAGGGGAAGTGAAAGGTGGGGCATGAGAGCAAGGGATGGGCCGTGGTGTAAGTCTCAGTCTGGTGGAGCACTGAGATCCAAAGTCAGGAGAAGATGGATGTCTTGGCTTAAACATGGAGAAAAAAAAAATGCCTTTCCTCCAACTTTCCATACTATTTGGGCTTTCCGTTTTCAGTCTTTGCCATTTCATGATGCTGTGACAAAATACCATAAACTGGGTGGCTTCTAAACAACAGAAATTTGTGTCACAGTTATAGAGGCTGGGAAGTCCAAGCAAATTTGGTATCTGGTGATAGTCCACTTATCGGTAGGCCATCTTTTCACTGTACCCTCACAGGGTGGAAAGGGCGAGGGGTCTTTTTCTTGGTCTGTTTTATAAGGGGCACAATTCTCACTCACGTAGTCTCTGACCTCATGAAGTATGCACCTACCAAAGACTCCACCTAATACCATAACTTTGGAAGGTAGTTTTTCAACATATGAATTTTCAGGGGACATAGACATTCAGATCATCAAAGTCTGATTATAAGAACTTTCTATTATAAACCTATTTGGTGCATTTAAGCATATCTTAAACATTTAAACCTTTAATAGGATATAATGTCTTCCAGGAAATTGAAAATAATAATAAAACAAGAAGGTGAATAGAAAAGCAATCCTTATTAATCCCTGAGCTATAACCCTGTAGTAGAAGCTAGCTTTTAAATGTTCTGTAATGCTTGCTGTGTACAGAAAAATTCAACAGATTCCAATTGTGTCATCATTTGCAAGTAGCCTCGGCTTTAATTTTAAAAGAGGTTGAATACTACTTACTACTTGTCCTAGTTTCCTGTTGTTACAATAATAAACTATCACAATACAGTGATGTAAAACAACACAAATATATCCTCTTATGGTTGTGGAGGTCAGAGGTCTTAAGTTATTTTCATTGGGCCAATGTCATGGAGTTGGCAGGGCTGGTTCCTTCTCAGGCTTTGCAGAGAAAACTCATTTTTCTTGCTTTTTTCTTTTCTTTTCTTTTTTTTTTTTTTTGAGATGGAGTCTTGCTCTGTCACACAGGCTGGAGTGCAGTTGCGCTCACTGCAACCTCCGCCTCCTGGGTTCAAGCGATTCTCCTGCCTCAACCTCCTGAGTAGCTGGGACTACAGGCACACACGACCACGCATGGCTAATTTTTGTTATTTTAGTAGAGACGGGGTTTCACCGTGTTGATCAGGATGGTCTTGATCTCCTGACCTCATGATCCACTCGCCTCTGCCTCCCAAAGTGCTGGGATTACAGGTGTGAACCACCACACTCGACCTTCTTGCCTATGTCTAATGGTCATCTGTATCCTTTGGTTCCTAACGTCTTCCTCCATCTTCAAATTGCATCATTCCAGTTATGGCTTCCATCATAACATTGCCTTCTCCTCTGGCTTCTCCTACATTCTTCTGTGAGGATCACTGTGATTACACTGGGCCGATCTCTAAAATCTGGGAGCATCTCCTCATCTCAATATCCTTAATTTAATCAAATCTGCTAAGTCCCTTGGTAGCATTCCCAAATTCCAGAGATGATTATGTGGATATATTTGGGGGTTCATTATTCAGCTTACCATACCATTTAAAATTATCTGTACTTGATCCTAAATGTTATGTTGGACTCATAGCACTTATCAAACCTAATATGTGTTTACAAAATAAAAAAAAAAAAGCAATGTTCTAATTGCTGTGGTCCTGCTTTCCCAAAAGCTCAAAATTTACTGGACAAGTCAGGTACACAGCCAGATGTATTAGGCTGTTGCAAAAGTAATTGTGTTTCCTGCCATTAAAAAAATGGCAAAAATAATGCAATTAATTTTGCACCAGCCTAATAAATCTTAGCAGATTTTTCTTTTTTTAAAATTTGCTATAGAAGCAGAAGTATATGTTTTGATACGCTGAATATTTTCACATAATGTTTTCACAATATTTCAATTGACCCAACAAACCAGTATTCAAAGTCATAATTTTATAGTAGGGCTGCATTCAACTTTTAGTGTGTATGGCATTCAAGAGGTTATGGCTAAGGTACTTTCAGTGTTTTCTGAATTTACAAAACAATCTTCAGTGATTTTATTACCTGAAGCAATAAAAATGTTATACCTCCGAAAGGCAGCTTCTAAATCAGTAGTTTCTAAACATTGATTTTTCATCTCATGCTGCATAATGAAGACTTCACTCGTCGGAGAAGAATGGGGAAAAATATGAAAATGTAAGGAGTTTTTCATAAAGCTAAATGTATTCAGTTTTAAGACTCTCCTTCATGTCCTTTTCACAATTTTTCCTTTATAAAAAATTTTAGAGATCAAAACTAAATCTTTTTAACCTGAAAAATAATAATTTAATGAATGTATGTCAATAGCAAATTAATATACACACATATAAACACACATGCATACATTCTGGCTTATAAAATTTGAAAATATAGAAATCATATCTGTAGCATGTTAATTAGGTTACATTAATAAGTTAGTATTAACACCTATAATTGTATACGGATTCAAAATTTACAAAATACCTTCATATCCATTAGTTCAAGACTCTTCCCCCAAAATAGCCATGAGGAAAAAAGTAAGTGATTATTATCTCCATTTTGTAGAATGAGAAACAAAAGCACAAAATTTTAGGTGACTTATCAGAATGATTTCAGTTGATATGCTGTATCTGTCATCTCAAACTTGCCGTATATCTTCAACCAGTTTTCAGAACGTTTCATTTATCACCTTGCACTAACTAAAATGTTGGTTTTCCCTAATTCCTCTGCAGTCAACTCAAGTTCCATATCCACCACTTGAGCTGTACACATTTCCTTTGGACCAACTGTCCCAGTGTGAGGAGGATAAAGAGAGATACGCTAATGCATCTTCCTTGTTCGTTTTAACCCAGTTTTGTCTTCTTTTTCTTCTTCCTAAACTATAATTTTCATCTCTGAATCTCATGCTTTTAATGGAAAAAAAAAAAAAGGTCATCTACTTTGAGTGCTTCAGAAAGGTCAAAAAATAATATGATAAGGAAATTGATATGATTAGTGGTTTGGCCACATACAGGTAAGTGAAAAGTATGCATTGTGGAGTGCTGGGTATGAAACATATTTAGAATGGGATAATTGATAATAAAGACAAAGGGCACATAACTCTTTCAAGATTGTTGCTACAAATAGGTATAGACAAATAAAAAGAATGTTAGAGGATGATAAGATATGAGGTCAACATAATTGATTTTTTAATTATGTGAAACAGAAATTATGCCACAGAAATACATGACTCCTTTATATATAATAACCCAATGTGCTACTCTTTGAAAAATCTGGACAATAATTAGAGGTTAGTAGTGCTTAATCAGTTTAACATAAATCAATTACAGAAAATGCTACAACTCTACTATTCTTTGGTGATATATTGTGGAAACAGCGTTCAGAGAAGGCTCTCTAAATGTTATGGAGGCAGGTGAAAGCACTTCTACTCCATTATTGGAGGGGTTGTAAATTAGCGCAGCCATTATGGAAAACAGCAGTAAGGCTTCACAAAAATAATAACAAATGGAGATGGAATAGTTGGATTTGAAAATTAGGGAAAAATAAACCTTCACCCTTACCTCATTTTATACATAAAAATTAGTTTCTGATGAATGATAGACCTCCATGTAAAACAAAAGCATAAAGCATCTAAAAGAAAATATAGAAGAATATAATTAATTCTTCATTGAGACAAAATTTGCTTAGATAAGTCGGAAAAAATAGTAATCATGAAAGCAAAAAATTATAAACCGAGTTTCAACAAAATTGAAAAATTTTGTCGGGAAGCATATTTGACAAAATGAATAGGAAAACCACAGACTGGAAAAAATACATATTTAGACATTTAAAAGCCCCTTAGAAGTCAACAATAAAAAGGATAAAACATTTTTAAAAAGGGAAAGAGGGCAATGGTTTTGACTGGTTGGACTGTCTACAACAGAAAACATATTTTTTCATTAAAGAAGTAATAATTTAGTCCTCAATTTGGTAATATTTCACACCCATACAGATAGCTAAAATTTAGAAAACACTGGCAGATTTAAATATTGACAGGATGTATAGCAACTGATACTTTCACATACGGCCAATTGATGTTTACATTGTTATAATCATTTTGGTGAACTGTGACCCAAATTACACTCCTTGGTATTTATCTAAGAGGATTGAAAATAGATATCCACAGACATATACAAAAATATTCATCATAACTTTATTCATAATAACTATGCCTTGAAAAAACCCAAATACCCACCAACTAATAATCAATAAACAAATTTTATGTGTTTATAGTACTTAATAAAAACAATCAAAATAGCAAAAATTGTATATGAATGTATATACAAATTATATGAAATTTGAGAAACATTTATATTATATCGAGTGAAAGAAACTTGTGATAAAGGAGTAAATACTGTACTGTTTCATTTATATGAAGTACCAAAACAAGAAAAACTCATCTATGGTCATTAATATCAAAGATCAGTTGCGTTTTGGGTAGAGGAGAAGGGAGCAAAAAGGGGGACAAGGGAGAACTTTCTGGGGTGATGAGATTCTTGTGGATGTTTGTTTTGTGTGGATTACAGCTGTATAAGCAATTGCTGCAACTCATTAAACTTATCACTTAATATCTCTACATCTTGTTGCATATAAATTATAAATTAAGAAAAGCAAAAGAATCAGTAAAAATGTATTAGTCCAATACTATACAATGTCTCAATCAAAAAAATTCTTGAAATTCTCTGTGAATTAGTCTGCTCAACAGCAGAACAAAATTATATGGTTTTTGTCTTAAGAATAATTTAAAATAGGAAGATTTTTGCAACAGATTTTAAAATTCCTCAACTTCCTTCAAAGGTGATCATCTTTGATGTTTTCTTTTCAGATGCCTGAAAATATTCTTGTGAAAGAGAAGAGGATCTCTTATGCTATGTAAGATTGTATATAATCTTTATGTTTTGGTGTATTTCAACTTTGTTTTGGTGATCCGACATTTATTTTAACCTAAGAAAAACGACAATACTAATCATGTTAGACTAAACTTGAAACAAAACAAATATAAATAATATACACTTTGTCTAACACCAGAGTATGCTAACATCTGTATGTGATGTTATTTCCATGAAGATGTATTTCCCTTCATGTTTTCCTCAGGCATGACTTTAGAAAGGATTAGTGTTTTGAAATGTCCTCACAATAAATGAATGTTTTGAAATATACTGAAAAAATGTGAGGTGTATTGAAATGTGCTTCTTTACATAACAGCCAAGGCGTCAGACATACTCGTATCTTATTATGAGTATTCATCTTGGGTATTGAATGAGTTTAGGTTGCATAACACTTTTAATAATACAATAATGAAAACATAAAAACAATAGAAAATAAAAACAATTTTCTAGAAAACATATCTACAAAATGAGAACATGTTCTCAAATAATTTCAACGTGTAGCTTGTAATTATTATTCAGTGATCTCCATGCTAGCTCAGTATATTAAACCTATACAATTAAATGCCCCACCCTAAAACTTAATGTCTTCTCCCAAAACGTGTACCAAAATCATAAAAGCAGATTTCTGCAGTTTCCTGTGAAAAACATGTAAAATGTATTTGCAAAAGAAGTCAGACAAGAAGACTACATACCGTATGGCTTCATTTATAACGAACGTCTAAAAAATTGTAAATCCATAGGGACAAAAGTAGGCTAAGCAGTTGTCTGGACTGGCAGGGAGAGCGCATAGGGAATAACTGTCAGTAAATATGAGTGATCTTACTGGGATTATGGAAATATTCTAAAACTAGATTATGCTGATGATTGCACAGCTTAGTAAATTTACTAAAAATCATTGAATTGTACACATAAAATTGGTGAATTTAAATGTGTTTGAGACCAGGCGCAGTGGCTCACACCTGTAATCCCAGCACTTTGGGAGGCCGAGGTGGGTGGATCACGTGGTCAGGAGATCAAGACCATCCTGGCTAACATGGTGAAACCCCATCTCTATTAAAATACAAAAACATTAGCCGGGTGTAGTGGTGGGCGCCTGTAGTCCCAGCTACTCGGGAGACTAAGGCAGGGGAATCACTTGAACCTGGGAGACGGAGGTTGCAGTTAGCCAAGATTGCCCCACTGCACTCCAGCCTGGGCGACAGAGCAACACTCCGTCTCAATAAATAAATAAATAAATAAATAAATAAAGTGAGTAGTTAAACTAACAAGGTTTTTTTTTTTTTTTTTCTAAATTAGTGTCTAGTTTCTTATACATCCAGATGTTACAATGCAGACAAAAAGCACAGTATTAAGAAGGACCTATTTTATTTCTAGTGGTTGAGTGATTGACACAGCTTGATAGTTAGATTAAAATGGATACTTATAACAAGTTAAATACGAAGTGCCAATTTTTTTTTGCTAAAAGCAAGAGAGTGGAAACTTTTTTATACTTCAATGATTATAATGAATGATTATACGTTCTCTACAATATATATGGAGAGGTATTTGTCAATAATGTTTTCATATACTTTTTCTTCTTTCACAAGTTAGAGATACTGTGTTTCTCCACTTGGGAGAAGTAAGTCAATGTGAAGTGTCTGCTTTTTTCTCTCTAGCAATACATACTTAGGATTTCAATTAAATTAATAAGATAAAATTAAAATATTTACTTTGGGTAATCAGGGTTTCTCAACCTTAGCAGTATTTAGGGGTATTTTGACACTAATAATTCCTTGTTTTGGAGGCAGTCCTGTGGTGTATGGGATGTTCAGCAAAATCCTTAGCCTCTACCATTAGATAATAATAATTAGAAGGATATATCTAGAAAGATAATGTCAATGAAAAAAATTTAAGAGCTAGTGTATATATTGTTTGTAAGTGTGAGGAATTCATAACAATTTTAGGATAGGATTTATATTCAGGAGATAGGGAAGGGAATTAGATACATAAGGAGTTAAAGGAGGCTTCAGCTTTATCTGTAAGATTATGGCAGCTAATATGAAAAGAGATCCAAAATATAGAATATAAAAGAAAACAAATATCTGCAACCTAAGTGATGGAGACATTTGCTTTGGTGAAATTATTCTCAATAATTTTATACACATAGAATAAACTACATATATAGTAGACAGAGAGAAAAAGAGAAATATAGAGATTAACAAACTAAGCTTCATGGTCACAAGGCCCTGGGAGATTGGGAGAATGTCTATTTTCCCTCTTTGTTTATAGAATCAGAAAGAAGAACAGTCACAAAATGAAAGTGCATTCCTAGAAACTGTAGGCGTCCTACATATTACAATGCTGCTATTTTGCTCCCTTTATCAACATGATTTAGATCCTAAATAATAGTAATCATTTACAACAAAATTACAATAGAGAAAAGTTACAAATGCATGCTTAAACACAAGCATTTTAAAAATTATACACTCTCTCTAATTATTCCTAGTGTTGACACAGAATTATATGATAGCTAAGGTTTAAGAAAATGATTATAAAGTTATTACTTATTAATTAATAACTATTATATGATATTAAATGTAGTAATTATTATTTATGACTATTGCCTAATAAATATTTTTCAACTTCCTAAAAAATACAGAAAACTTCTTTTAGCAGATATGATGATAATCCATTCTGGTCATTATTACTTAGCTTGGTGTTATAGAAATTGAGAAAAATGAGTGTAAAATCATGTCCTCTCAAACAAAAACAATTCCATATGGTAAAATACTGATAAAAGTAGTTCTATAGAGAGTTATTCCTGCTCTCAGAAATTAGCACAATAAAGAGTTTATATGAGAATTGAGATAAGAGAATCCCAGATTTTTCTCCTTTTAATTTTACAGTTGAAAGATCCCTTAAAAGTTGTTTAGCTCTTATTTTATAGATGTGGAAAATGAGATTCAGAAAGTTCAGATGATTTCCTTCCCCAAGGTCACCTGGTGAGTTAGTAGCAGAGCTGGATCTGGAACGCATCTTCTTCATCTTTCTATGCTGTTTCCACACTCCCAAAGTGAATTCCTGTCATAGTATCATTTTATTTTCTAACAGAGAGTATTTTATAACACAGCACAATGGTAACTACATACCTAATGTGCATTTCAGAACACATTAAGAATATTAATGTTATTATTAGGAGAAAAGTCTTTTACCGCAGCTTAAACTTTCATTTTCCCCCCATTATCTGTTGCACAACTCCAGTTCTTAAGGGGGGAAAAAAAAATCAGACTCGGTCAGCAACTTGTAACCTGTGCAAACTCTGTGACTGTCTCTATGACAGCCTGAAGGTCAAAAGACCAGATCATCTCTACATTAGTCAACTCTCCGAAACTCGAGGATGTCAATCATTGGAAAGGATCAGCTGACCTATCTCCCCACAAGCGCTCTGACAGATTTAATGTTCACAGCATCTATTGTCAACAAAGAAAATAAAGGGAGAAGAAACTCAATTTGTATACTTCCCTCCTAAGGCATTCAAGGTACAGACTAGGATAAATATGTTGTTTATTTTCGGAACTGATGGCATTTACCTGTTTGCTTTTATCTGCTGTTTCGTTTAGCTCAAAAGATCTAACTTTCTTCTTTATCTCTTCCTTTGAGCTAGCTGGATGAGATTTGCTAAGGACGGGAAAGCTAGCACTGCCATGATAGAATGGCAGAAATTGTTCCAGCATACAGTGACTTGAGTAAACAATTTGCTTAAATTCTCCCCTCAAGAGCCATGCATATATTTCCATTGTTACCAAAAGAGATTGTTACTTGTTTTTATTTGCATCTTGCCTGAACAGATCAGGGAGGAAATGCATGGAATTTGGAGCAACACTCTCTTGGGTTTATATATCCTAAATCGAGATCGTTTACCTCTCTGCGCCTAAGTCTGTCATTTACATAAGAAGTATAATACCAGTTATATCGTTTAGGATTATATTTAGCTGCTGGTGACAGAAACCCCAAATGTAACAGAGGCTTAAGCAAGATTGACATTTATACTTTTTCTAAAACAAAACTGAACAAGTGGATGAGGATTGATATGGCGCTTAATGCATCAAGGGATCAGAAAGATTCTTTCTTTTATCTTCTTATTCCATCATTTGTGGCCTTTACTTCATAGTTAAGGAAAGCAGAATTTTGATGGAGAGGCAAGAAAGAAGAAAGGAAGGAAAAAAGAGGGAGTGATAAAGGGCACACAGATGATATGTGATATGTCACAAAGAACATGTCTCACTGGCCAGCATTAGTTACATGGCTGTACCTAGCTGCACAGGAGGCTGGAAAATATGGTGTCCATTCTGGATGGACCTAGACCCACTCAAAAAGTCAGGATCTGCCTTTTTTTCAGCTGTCTTCCCCTCTCTGTGGGACTTTGAGGCACCTGCTTTGGTCTCTTCCAAGGAAATTTTCCTTTCCTTCCTGTTCTAAAGTCCTTTTAAATAAACTTCCCCTCCTGCTCTGAAAAAAAAAAAAAATCAGCATCCTATTACCACAGAAAAATATAAGAATATTTTGGGAGACAACTAGCATCTCTACCACACCTAATTTAGGAGACACTGCTAGTTGTTCACAAGTATCTGGGCTGCATTCCCAGGTTCCCTTGCTTTTAGGTCCTATCATTTGACTATGCTCTCCCCATTGGGATATGAGTTAAAGCGATCTGAGCCATTTCCATGCCCAAATCTTTAACATTTTGAGTATTCTCTCTCTATGTTATCTTTGCAGTATGTGTCTTTCCTTTGAGCTAGCTAAAAGCTGAACTTCCAGGCAGCTACTTTTTGATGTAAATGAGTACAATAACTTAGGTAATAGAGTAGGGAACATGGAAGGAATCAAGTCTCTGCATGGCTGTGGGGAATGAAAATACCTGCTGATCTGATTTACTTATCCAGTCCTAGAACATTTGTTGGAAATACATGTCCTAGTACATGTATTTTTGTTGCCCTGATGAAATAGCACAAAATTTTACTTATTTTAGATGGAAAAAAGATGGTGTATGGACCAGAGCTACCTTAGTCTTCCATGCATCAATTTCACCTATTTGAGGCCTCCAATGAAGTATAGTACATAAGATAAGGCCAACACCACAATGAAATAGGATCGTTGTTAGTATGTGGACTTTGCCTTCCTTTACAACTAATAAGCTTTTACCTTCTAACCTCAGAATAATTTCCAGTCTGCTACAAAAATGTATGCAAACAATATTCATCACATGCCAGAAGAAAAGAAGTGATGTAGGTAAAGAGAGACAGCATATGTCCTGATAACAAGGTATATGTGACTCAAGGCATCATCCACAATCTTACTCTCTGCTCCAATGTTTAGGATTATAATAAGGAACATATGTTGCCTCTTGGTCTAGCATATAACCCTGAACTTCAATTTTCTTTCCCTCAGCTCAGGAAAACTGTCACTGCTTTTCTCTTGTCCTCTATGTTCAGTGCCACAGATCAGCAACTACTCTGAGGAAGAAAGCAGGTAAAGGTAGGTTTCATCTCAAGCATTCCCATTCTTTCAGATATTCTGGCCCCTCAAGTCCTGGTTTCCTTGGTCTCTTTCTAATCATACCAAACATGCTTTTTGTATTTTATAAATATTTTTGATGAGTGGATTAGCACAATGTATTATTCCATAACAAAAAGAAATGAAAATGAGCTTTTGATGGTATAGAAACCAATCTCCAAGATGAATTCTAAGGATCCTCATCTCCTTGTATTCTCACCCCTGGGTAGTCATCTCCCAAAATATATGAGGGTTGGTGTATTAGAACAATATAATACAATAGAAATAATGGTAGATCACTTCTCAGGATGTGTTATAATTACATCATAGCTTCTGTCTCACTCTGGAATCTCTTGTTCTAGAGGAAATCAGTGCCAAGCTATGAGTACAGGCAGCCCTGTGAAAAGATCAGCTAGTGAGAAACTAAGTCCTTCCACCAATCGTCAGTGAGAAACTGAGGTATCCTGTCAACAGTCACATGAGTGAGTCATTTTCAAATGAATCTTCCATCCCCATTCAAGCATATGGATGACTAAAGTCTGAGCTTATAGCATGACTGCAAACTCTTGAGACCCAAAGCCATAATCATTCAGTTGAGCTGCTTCTGCATTCTTGACCATCACCCACTGTGAGGGATAATAAATGTGTATGTATGTGTGTGTGTGTTTAATTTGTAATTGTGGTAAAATACACATAAACTTTATCATATTAACCATTTTTAAGTGCATGGTTCAGCAGTGTTAATTATATTCACATTGTTGTGTAACCAGTCTCCAGAACCTTTTCATATTGCAAAATTGAAACTTCATACCCATTAAACAACAGCACTCAGCTCTCCCTTCTCTGGAAACCACCCTTCTGAGTTTTACTAATCTAGATAGGTCATGTAAGTGGAATCAGAAACTACTTGCCTTTTTGTGACTGGCTCATTTTACTTAGCATAATGTCCTCAAGGTTCTCCACGTTGTACTATGTGTCAGAATTTACTTCCATGTGAAGGCTGAATAATATATTATTGACTGTGTATACCACATTTTCTTTACCCATTCCTTTGCCAATGAACAGTTGAGTTGTTTCCACCTTTGGGTTATTGTGAATAGTACTGCCATGAACAGAGGTATACAGATATTTTTTTGAGACCCTGACTTCAATCTTTGAGGTATAAACCCAGAAGAGGAATTGTCACATCACTTGGTAATTATATTTTTTTAATTTTTTGAGGAACTGCCATACTGTTTTCCATAGAAGCTACACCATTTTAAATTTCCACCAACAGTGAACAAGGATTCAGTTAATCTACTTCCTCATCAACACCTGTTAATTTTTGTTTTCTTGATAGGATCCATCCTGCTGGGTATAAGGTGATATCTCATTATGGTTTTGATCTGCTTTTCTCTGATGATTTGTGATGTTAAGCATCTTTTCAAATGCCTGTTGACTATTTATATATCCTCTTTAGAGAAATGTCTTTTCAAGATTTTTGTCCATTTGTTATTCAGGTTTTGTTGTTGAAGAAGAAGAAAGAGACAATGAAGAAAAGCAATATTTGAGGAGAAAATAATGGCAATTTTCAAACCAAAGAGATGTCATGCCATATGTTCAATGAGTTTTAAGAAAACCAAGCAAGATAAATACAATAAAATGCCACATATAAATATGTTATGTAAAACCAATGAATAAAAATTATCAGTGAGTCAACTATTTTACAACAAAAATATCTATATAATGCATTGAGGGAAATTATAATCGTCTCAATATATGGTATTCAATCAATTGCATATCAATGTAGGAAAAAGCATTAGTTTGTTTTTTTGAGACAGAGTCTTGCTGTGCTGTCCAGGCTGGAGTGCAGTACTGCAATTCCAGCTCACTGCAGCCTCCACCTCCTGGGTTCAAGTGATTCTTCCACCTTGGCCTCCTGAGTTGCTTGGATTCAAGGTGTGCACCACCATACCTAGCTAATTTTTGTATTTTTAGTAGAGACGAAGTTTCTCTCTGTTGGCCAGGCTAGTCTCAACCTCCTGGCCTCAAGTGATCCTCCCACCTCAGCCTCCCAAAGTGCTAGGATTATAGCATGAGCCACCATGCCCTGCCCACAAATTTTTTTCTCTACTTTGAACTACACAGACTCAATGCCTGATGGATAATAACCAAAATATGAAAGGTAAAATAATACATCTTCAGATAGTAACATAGGATACGTCACAAAATAATACCTAAATGATGAATTCATATATGAAAAGATCCTTAACTTCAGTATTCATCAAGGAAACTCAAAGTTACAATGGTATATATAAATCAGAATGTCTAAAAATCATTATGGTAATGAAAATATAAAAATCTGACAATATAAATGTTGGCAGGAATGTAGAATAACTAAAACTCTCATACTGGTGGAAATGGAAATGGATAATTCCATTTTGGAGAACTCTTTAGCAATGTCTACTAAAGCTGAACCCATATGTGTCTGATAAGCCAGCAGCTGAACCTCAGAGTGCATGCCTGTATTAGAAATTCTTGGTGCCTCACCAATTTCCCTTAAAAATTCACCATTTCCATTTACTGTAAACTGATGATTTTCTTATCTTCATACCTGTGACATTTTTCTACATTCTTTATCAGCCCAAAACATTCCCTGTAAATGTATTATTTACATCAGAATTGCTGATAAATTGAGTGTTCTAGGAACATCATCAACAATGGCTGAATTGACAGGAATTTGTAGATAATTATCATGGCTTTTCCCCTGTAATTGGGATAACTTGGAATCATTTGGGTAGCAACTACTTTGCTACCCAAAGTAGTTACTGGTTGATGATGCAACCTTTATTGACTTTCCTCTCCATTCCTCACTTTTCAACCTCTACCAGGGTGTCCTGGGATTACCTCCTGATTAAACTATTTATACTCACATTCTTTTCTTGAGGTCTGTTTCTGAGAGAACTCAAACTAAGACAAAAGTTATCTGGACACTAAATAAACAAATACACCAAAATACATATAGAAATGTTCATGGTTTTATTATTCATGAGAGCTCAAACTGAAAATAACTCTCATGTCTAGTACTGGTGCAATGGATAAGTAGATTGTGTCACGTTAATGCACTGTAGTACTATGAAGCAATGAACCATTGGCATGTGCCATAATATGGATACAGCTCACAAACATGTTGTTTAGTAATATAAGGCAGACACAAAATTACACAAGGTAAGTGATTTGCAAAGTTCAACATTTGGGGTTGTGATAAAATCAGAATATTAATCTGTGGGAGTAATTGTATTTAGAAGGAGCAATGGGAGATTTTCTGGGCTAATGATAATGCTCTATGTCTTAATCAGGGTAGTGATTATGTAGATGTGTTCACATTGTAAAATTTAATCTGTGCTCTTTTCCTTCACATAGATTTTACTCAAATACAAAGTTTACCTAACCAAACAAACAAATAAATAAGCAACATGGTAATATCCACCATGCTTAGAAAAGTCCTTTAATGCATGGGTTAATATATAGCCAAACATTACTCTTTGAAAAGTTTCTTAGAATTAATGATATAGAAAAGTAGTGGTTCTCTGATTTTAGTAAGCATTGGGATTACAGGAAAGGATGTTTGGTGCATTTGAGGTGGAGTCTAGGTATCTGCATTTTGAGTAAGCTCCGAGGTGACGCTGCTGCTTCTAATCCAGACACAACACTGTGAGAACTCATTAGGCTGTGGGATTCTCCTGTAGTAAGGGATGTAGGTGCCTGCAGCAGCAATTGCAAGGGAAAGCACCACCTGGCTCCAAGCTGAACCCCTCAAGGGAGATGGAGCAACAGAGGCTGGGTGCCTTGATCACACTCCTCTCTCTATGCTGCCATCCTTGGCTCCCATGCTCTACAGGGACCCTGATACTTCCTTGCTGTACTCCAGCACTCTCCCTTAGACATTCTAGTGAAATTTTAGTTTTTTGTTTGTTGCTTTGGTCCTTTTTTGTGTGCGTGAGGACAAGTTCCAGGCACCTTTAGTCAGTCATCTTGCTGATGTCACATATTTTTGTACATCGTTTTGTTAAAGTTTTAAATTCAGGTTTGCTTTCTGATATATCTTGTCATTACAATTTATCAGTCAGGAATATTTGCTTATTTTTAATTGCCGCCTATAGATTTGTAACTTCTTTGTTGCCTAAAGGTATCCATTTGTAACGTCTCAGAAAGATGACTGTCCACATATATAATGCACAATAATCTGCTATTTATTAATCACAACTGATTATTCATTTCAGACTACTGGTGGAAGACCTTTCCTCTGGAACTACTTTGCACAACATCAGTGTGGTTAAATAAGGAAAAAAAAAAACATAAAAAGAGCTTTGTTGGACTTCAGTGCTTATAGAACCAACTCTGATGTGAGAGAGAGACATAGGCAATTAAATAGAAAATCACTATTGCTCTTATTTGAGTCAATCAATCTATTCCTACTCTATGTTTTAATCTCTGCTTTATGGCAAGCTAACACTTCTCCATTTTTCTTGCTATCTCCTAGCTGCATTCTCTGCCACAACATGGAGAGTTATCAGAAATAGTGACTAAAATTTATTATATTTTCTTCATCAAGTATACTATTTTAAATGTTAATATTAATTTAGCTGATTCACACTTTAAAACTTAGAAAGTACATTTGTATCCATGTTAATGAGAGGGGGAAAAACATACTTTCTCAGTCCATAGTAATGAAAGCTGTACGATTTTTACAGTTGTCTGAGTGTCGCAGTTCTGACACAAAACGGTAGGCAGATATCTGCAATGAGATCCACATGAAGAAAACACAGCAGAACTTTTAAATTTAAAAATCAAGACATTTTTACAAATAAATAACACTTTCTTGCTTATGTGTGTATGTTTAACACACCATAAATGTGTATAATGAATACACAGGTGACCCTCAAGCTGACATTATTCTTAGATTCTGGATATTCTTTATTTGTCTGGTAGAAACGGGGTAGAATAATGCCTAAAGTTATGCACCAAGGCATTGTCATTGGAACTGTAGAGGGTTGAAAGTATTTATTTTCCCCCCTTTGAAACTTCATACATTAATAAAAACCGCAACAACAGGATATACATGGTATTCAATAATTTAAAATATTCAGAGATATTTCACTTTAAAAGTTTCTTATTTGATCATACCCTGTGAAATAGGGAAGACAAGTAAATGGATGATCATCACTACCTAGTTAAAGATTACCTTGCATGAGATGAGGCAGGAGATCTGGAGTTTACATAACAGAGCTACCGCCTCCATAAAACAAAGTAACTAGAAATATATAGTATCACCCACGTATAAAATGAGAAAGATTATCAGTCATCCAGGGAAAAGTAAAGAAAAAAATGTACCCATTGGAAAATGAAAGCTGAATACACTAGATCGCATTATGTAGCCCCACAGAATCACATACTTGCCTTTAAACCAAACCAGCCCTAATGATTACTTGCATTCGTCCCAAGTTCAAAAATCTAGGATACCATGAGATTGTTAGGGTCAAGGTGACCAAAGCCTCTGTACTACTCGCAGTTCCTGGCTACCCAGAGGAGACCTACCTGATCACCTCCTGATCAGGTAATAACTCTCACCTCCTGCCTGCATGCTTCCTGCCTCCTCCTTGGGGCATTTTTGTTAA